CGAAATATTTTGGACATCTTGTGAGAATAATTCACATATTTACAGCTCTTCATGACTAGCGGGATTTAACATCATATATCAGTTTATACCTGACAAAATAGGTATTGAAAGATTTATAAGAATACATACTTGCTCTTCACTCTTTAGACTAAATAGGCTTCCATCTCACTCCGTGATGAACCGGACTATTAACAATGTCGATTCGGTTTGATGCAATGACTCCAAGCATGTTTTAGAAAACTGAAAATAAATATATAGTTTCATTATCAAGTTTTGGAGTCATGAATCACGAAAATGCTGTTTGACAGAGGTAAGCAAAGGTAAGCTTATATTAAAAATACATGAAAATATCAACTTAATGTCATGTTATGTGCATACCGAGTCTATCTTACTTTAGGTAGAACTAAACTTCGTTGACCTAAGTATAGTTATTTTATTCACAAGACAGAAATACAGAGAAGAGATATAGTTGTTCAACTATGTCATTATCTATTCGGTTTGGCTACTGTGGGTGGTAAAATAAATAAATGTTCACTTATTCTATCTAACTCAGGGGTGGGCAAATTACGGCCCGCGGGCCGGATCCGGCCCACCGGAGTGTTTCATTCGGCGCACTTGAGCGTGCTGAAATTATGAACATATGTTTTTAGAAATATAAATATCCGTTGAAAATATCGATGATATAAATTGAAACTCGGCTCGAGTAAACGAAACGTCGGCTAAAGTAAATACCGTAATTCATCGCGTATTATAAGCACCTGAATATGATGTGCAAAAATCATCCATCCGAATCATTTAAGTCATTAAAAAAACTCAAGCTTCTGATATATCAGCATTTGGGCCTGCAAATTTTTTCGTGCGTTTGTGAATGCCCCAACATATGTTTTTTTCTTTTGTCTAGTACAACGATTCCCAAAGTGGGGGCAAAAGAGATAAGAAACGGGGCGACAGGGGGCAATTGCGCATTCTCGGTGAGTAAAATTGTTTTCCTGACGCGGGTATTTAAGCCGAGAACATCGAAATTATGTCGGTAAACTAAATTATCTCGAAATTCTCAATCGGAAACTATTGCTTAGTCCAGCGGTTCTCAAACATTTTGTTTGTGCGGCGCCAGTTTACTGCATTAGAGTTATAATGCTTTTACTTTATCGTATTAAATTGTACTCAGACATTGGGATTTTGCAAACAACGATATCCTAAAATTATCTTAAACCAAAATTCAGATTGTAGTATTTCAGAATAGTGAAATTTTCATTTATTGTAACTCGGCGCAACGGCGATTTTACGTTGAAAATAATTGAATTAATATCGCGAGACAATTTTAATGCTCGTATCGGTCATGAACTGAATATTTTACGAAACAGAAAATCATCATCGATGACAAAGTCGGCAATTTTAATGAATGTCGTAAGCGCGACGACTCGTTTCCCCTGTGAATGTACTGAAAATATAGTAACGGCAAGTCATCTGGCATTTTTGACAAAGTAAAATTGGTTGCTTCTTTCATTTTTAACATCATATTTGATGGTAGAAAAGGGTCAAATCAAATAATGATGATGATTTGAGGTTGTACCTGACTAAAATTCCTCCATCTTATTAACAACATCAGGTACCATGCTATTCCTTAATAATTGATTCGCAATAAATTTGTTTGTAACTTGATGTTTTGTAGTTTTTGGGGGCGATGATAACGTTAAAAGTACAGTATGGGGCGAAAAAAGTTTTGTGAACCACTGGTCTAGTAACATGTCTTTCAACGCTAATATTTCAATGTTATTTACTATATCCCTGCTGCAAATACCTGATGCTTTACATCACTTAAACGCGATTATGAAACGGGAAGGCGATTGACTAATGACTGATAGATTGCGAGTTGCGAATTTGCGAATGAACCGTTTTTAATCAATTGAGTTTGATCATCCGGTCCAGTAATCTAGTCTAGCATCCGCATCGGCCCACTCAGGAAAGTAATTGCCCACACCTGCTAACTGATACATCGAGTTGCGTGCGCAGAATTTTATGCCATTATAACTTCGTATTTTGTATTTTACACATCGAAATATTACCATTCGATATATTTCTTCATAATTTCCATGTAATGTTAAAAATGTCAATATAAAAATATTGACCGCAAAACTAGCCAAATTAGGTGAGTTAGTTGGGCTGATAAATGGCTAAAATCAGGTCATAATCCTATTCCCGTTTCTATTCGCGCGGTTGGGAAACAGCATTGCTCATACTTAAGGCTAATACCGCGAACACGATCACTCCAAGAAAAAATAATTTTCATATCAGTATTTCAACCTACTTTTCTGGAATAGATTGAAAAGTTAATTATCTTGAAAATATCAGTCTACATTTAGCCGATATCGATACGAATACCGATACCAAAAAAATCGCCCATATCACCGATACCCGATACCTTATACCGAAAGCCTTTTGAATCAGTTTCGACCAGCACTGACTGTATAACGACATTGATATGTGTTTGATGCAGAAGGTATAACACTCATTTTAACCATTCCAAACCGAAATTGAAATAAATGAAAAGCCAATATTCCACAATTAATGATAAAATAAAACAAGTGAATAATACACGATAGTAATATTCACGCTACAATGACTTAGAAATAAATTATTATTTAGCAGAATTTTTTGCATTTGAATAAAGATTTACCAAACACAAATTTGGGTCGGGCATTTATGTTAACGACAGATTTAAATTCAATTCAACGGAGGCATTTATTTCAAAAAACACCCCCGAATGCACATTTCAAATTTGTTAATTATTCCTAACCCGAAACCTATAACCCAAGCTGGACAACTACTAATTTGTTAGTTTAAAGCAGGCGGGGTGTTTTCCGAAATCTCTCATTTTTCCGAAGAAACATTCTCAACTGTGGTAATAATATACTTAACCTAATGACCCCTGGTGTTCCTGGGTCATTTTTGACACCCCTCTATAATTTTTTTAATATTTCACCAACCAAAAATGCCAAAGACATCATTAATGTGTCCTTAAAAAGCTTATTTTCGTCGCTTTCCACTAAAACGCGCCCACGTTACGTAGCGTAAATGCGTCCGACCATATGCCAGTAAGAAGAGAGAAATTTCAAAAAATTTCGAGAAAAAAGTTCTCACTTTTAACGCTGTGGTCAACACGTGATTGATATGCGAGAGAAAGAGTTTCCTTTGGACGAGTTTTACGTCACCTTCAAAATAAAACAAAAGTGGGATTTGTAAGTGAAGTGATATTCGTTTTATCGAAGAGCATTTGATCGCGTGCTGTCTGGTATCTATGTTTGTTTATTATGAGCCGGAGAACGTTGCTCGCGCGTTCAAAATACTTCGTTTTCAACTAACAACAAATATTTGGTTATTTTAAGCTTTGAAATACTCATACAAATAAATTTGACCTTGTTGCAAATAAAAATTATACATAAAAAAAATATGATGACGTCACCGTATTGAGAACACTCGGATCAAGCATGGATAATTTAAACTCAAACATTTTGAGTTTTGAAATTGGTTTGTTCACATGCAGACCACTATGAATACTGTTGACCCCCAAAATAGATTTAATTTAGCCATAATCCCAATTATGACACAGATCTGCCATTTATGACCGGGCCGAAACCCTAGTTAATCAATATATTGCACTATAAGTTTTTTCAAAAATATTGAATTATTTCGAACATTTCCGACCTAGCGGGGAAAAATTTTAATATCCCATTACATCGAGGACTAAATAAAAAAAACTTAATTCAACAAATAGTTGTGGTGGACAATGTTATATTCGCAGATGGTAAATTTTACAAAAATTGATTAATTCAGAAAATATTTAATTATTTCGATCTAATTTCGGCTTGGAGGTTAAAATTTGAATGTACCAATAATGTCATTATGTGAACTATATGAACTATGTCAAGTTTTGGGTTCGTGAATGACAGAAAATGTAATTTGATAAATTCGATATGAATTGGATATATATTTCAACAAATTTATTCGTACCTGTCTGCTGTAGCGAATTGGCGACATCAAATAAAATAATACTACGTAACGCTGTGTGATTTTTTAAATTCTAGTTAACCTTCTTTCCGAGCCTGTCGAACCCCTGCGCTATCCTGAAAGCTCTCGCTAAACCCCATTGTACCGAATGGCTAAGAGCCCAATCCTAACTTCATATAGGGGAAGCCTAATTTCGTGCCAAGGTTATAGAAAATGAAAAGATTCAGGTTGAAAATCCTTGGTTTGCAATAACAACCCAAGATGTTTCAAAGTCATAATCAGAAAGCATCAAGGGCACTATCATATAAGCACAACACCAAAGCGCGCGACATCCGTGGAGATGACGGGTTAAATAAAACCTATTACTGCGCAACAGTAGTACTAACAAACAGCAACGCTAATTTATTAGTTGTTGAACGTATAAGTTTAAATATCTGAGATGAACTGTATTAAAATTGCATAATTAGTAGACGATGTGATAGAAAAGTCCCTATTATAAAACTGTTTTAATTTAAAAGGAACATCGTCGAACCCTGGAACAGCACCAACGAACACCAAAAATTCGATTGAACCCTGGTTAAAAGTACTGTTCTAGACTATTGAAAAACTAACAAAACGTTATGGCGACGAAACAAACCCATAAAGTACGAATACAATAAATACTACAAAATGAGGCCCGACCAATTGTATTAATGCAGCCGCAAATACCCCATTGCCTGTATTATAATACCATTGCTGGCGACTGGCGCATACTCCGATACTTGTCAAACGATGGGAGAACGCCCAAAAAGGAACATAACCCGCGTCTTTTCGGGAATTATGTACACGAAATTATCAAATCAGCAAATTATATATTAAAATTGGGCGAAATATTTTGGACATCTTGTGAGAATAATTCACATATTTACAGCTCTTCATGACTAGCGGGATTAACATCATATATCAGTTATACCTGACAAAATAGCTATTGAAAGATTTATAAGAATACATACTTGCTCTTTACTCTTTAGACTAAATAGGCTTCCATCTCCTCCGTGATGAACCGGACTATTAACAATGTCGATTCGGTTTGATGCAATGACTCCAAGCAGTGTTTTAGAAAACTGAAAATAATATATAGTTTCATTATCAAGTTTTGGAGTCATGAATCACGAAAATGCTGTTTGACAGAGGTAAGCAAAGGTAAGCTTATATTAAAAATACATGAAAATATCAACTTAATGTCATGTTATGTGCATACCGAGTCTATCTTACTTTAGGTAGAACTAAACTTCGTTGACCTAAGACAGTAGTTATTTTATTCACAAGACAGAAATACAGAGAAGAGATATAGTTGTTCAAACTATGTCATTATCTATTCGGGTTTGGCTACTGTGGGTGGTAAAATAAATAAATGTTGACTTATTCTATCTAACTCAGGGGTGGGCAAATTACGGCCCGCGGGCCGGATCCGGCTCACCGGAGTGTTTCATTCGGCGCACTTGAGCGTGCTGAAATTATGACCATAGTTTTTAGAAATATAAATATCCGTTGAAAATATCGATGATATAAATTGAAACTGATCGTCGGCTGAAGTAAATACCGTAATTCATCGCGTATTATAAGCACCTGAATATGATGTGCAAAATATTCCATCCGAATCATTTAAGTCATTAAAAAACTCATCAGCATTTGGGCCTGCAAATTTTTTCGTGCGTTTGTGAATGCCCCAACTTATGTTCTTTTCTTTTGTCTAGTACACCGATTGTTTTCCTGGCGCGGGTATTTGAGCCGAGAACATCGAAATTATGTCGGTAAACTAAATTATCTCGAAATTCTCAATCGGAAACTATTGCTTAGTCCAGCGGTTCTCAAACATTTTGTTTGTGCGGCGCCAGTTTACCGCATTAGAGTTATAATGCTTTTACTTTATCGTATTAAATTGTACTCAGACATTGGGATTTTGCAAACAACGATATCCTAAAATTATCTTAAATCAAAATTCAGATTGTAGTATTTCAGAATAGTGAAATTTTCATTTATTGTAACTCGGCGCAACGGCGATTTACGTTGAAAATAATTGAAATAATATCGCGAGACAATTTTAATGCTCGTATCGGCCACGAACTGAATATTTTATGCAACAGAAAATCATCATCGGTGACAAAGTCGGCAATTTGAATGAATGTCGTAAGCGCGACGACTCGTTTCCCATGTAAATGTACTGAAAATATAGTAACGGCAAGTCATCTGGCATTTTTGACGAAGTAAAATTGTTGATTCTTTCATTTCTAACATCATATTTGATGGTAGAAAAGAGTCAAATCAAATAAAGATGATGATTTGAGATTGTACCTGACTAAAATTCCTCCATCTCATTAACAACATCAGGTACCATGCTATCCCTTAATAATTGATTCGCAATAATTGTTTGAAACTTGATGTTTTGTTGTAGTTTTTGGGGGCGATGATAACGTTAAAGTACAGTATGGGGCGAAAAAAGTTTTGAGAACCACTGGTCTAGTACATGTTCTTTCAACGCTAATATTTCAATGTTATTTACTATATCCCCTGCTGCAAATACCTGATACTTTACATCACTTAAACGCGATTAGTGAAACGGGAAGGCGATTGACTAATGACTGATAGACTTGCGAGTTGCGAATTTGCAAATAAACCGTTTTTAATCAGATTGAGTTTTGATCATCCGGCCCAGTAATCCAGTCTAGCATCCGCATCCGGCCCACTCAGGAAAGTAATTGCCCACCCCTGCTAACTGATACATCGAGTTGCGTGCGCAGAATTTTATGCCATTATAACTTCGTATTTTGTATTTTACACATCGAAATATTACCATTCGATATATTTCTTCATAATTTCCATGTAATGTTAAAAATGTCAATATTTATTTATGCATTTATGTTAACGACAGATTTAAATTCAATTCAACGGAGGCATTTATTTCAAAAAATGCCCCCGAATGCAGATTTCAAATTTTATTAATTATTCCTAACCCGAAACCTAACCCAAGCTGGACAACTACTAATTTGTTATTTCAAAGCTTTAAGTTAACGACCGATTTAAATTCAATTCAATGGAGGCATTAATTTCAAAAAACAACCCCGAATGCTGATTTCAAATTTTCAAATCATTCCTAACCCCAGTGTTCACTATTAGCGCACTTTTTTGCGAAAATTGCGAAGCACTTTCGCAACTTTTTTTAGGGACTGCGAAATAGCACTTTTTTCCGATTTTGAAGAGAAATAGCACTTTTTTCCCGATTTTGAATGGAATAAAAATTCAAAGTTAACAAATATTTTCGAGTATTAAGTTGACAAATAAGTAACATACTAGTACTTTTGTAACTCAATTCTGCATATATATCATAACGATATTTACCGGAATTCTAACCTATGAGATGCAGACATAAGAGATAAAGCTTTTGCATTAACGGCAAAATTCTTGTTTATAATATGATTATTATACAAGCACACCGATTCCGCTTCTCCCGCAACTCCCGCAAAAACGCTCCGCGTCTTTGAAACCAGATGTTGGAATACTACCATTGCCTTTCTTTGAACGAAAGTGGTCATGTGACTATCAATGATATCCTTGAATTCAAAATGACTATAAAAGTGTTAGTAAAGTGTTATAGTCACTTTGGATGTATTGTGACCAAAGTGCACGATTTTCAAATCAGACGAAACTTTTAGCAGCATGTCTCAGATTTGCAAAATCACCAAATTCATAAAATACCATTAAGTGCCATTTTATTGTAATCACAATGTTGAAAGCACGTGGCATTTTGCGATATTTACACAACTATTTCTCATTGATATGCGAGTACGGGTGGGCAAAATTCAATATTTTATTGAATTGAATATTTTTAACCAGTACGGAATAACAAATATTTTTGGAACGTCGGTTGAAACATTAAAAAATCGGCAACAACGCCTTTTTACTGGTTAATTCCGTTGTAATCGCTAATTGTTCTTGTCACCGATCGTTTTGGCGGCGATATCCAGGTTTTGCTAATCTATATTCCCGCCCTCTCTTTTTACAAATATGAATTCTTGCGGGTCGGCGGACATCGAAGTTTTATATTTCGGGTTTACCCGTTTGTTCACATCGGCAACAGCTGTTGAAGACATAGAGGACTCAAATTAACATTTGCGTTGGCTTTAATATTACCTATCAAGATTTGTAAATTTACGGTCCCAATTTTATGCGAATGGTAATATTATTGTCGATACCGTGATGCTGATATTTATTAAGACGATAATTAACTTTCTCATGTTTTTCTATGGTGAAAAACTTGGCAAATCTGAAATTGTGCCAATCCTGAATGTTGATTTAAAATAGTGATTGAATAATTCGGCAATAAAGGCATTTCTGCGTGGTCATAGGACGAGATAACGTTAATGAACAGCACTTCTTTTACAGGATATTTTACGTATGCGACTTAGACTTGATGCTGAAAAGATTGGACACGAGTGCTTTTTTTTCGAGTGCTCGAGTGCCTAATAGAGGTCAGGCGCTAATTGTAACTAATTCCCTCAAGTTTCAACATGTTTTAAACAAAACAAAACCCCGGCGATAATTATAGCTAAAATGTTACCGAGCAATTCACAATTTTATTTATGGAATTTGAAAATTCACCAGTTTCTTGACGATATTGATAATGTCACGCCCTAATTATTAGTGCAAAAAATACTCCCCTTCTTCCGCGGCGGTTTGATGGGTTCTTTGTTCCAATCTTCAGAAATTTCTGACACGGGGGGATATAGAATACTGAATCCGGAGGGTTGAATCCCTGTCGACTTACTGGTGATTTTCCGTTTTGGAATGCGTGGAACATTCTCTATTTTAAATTAAATGACGTTTCGCGGGCTAGAGTTCTCCCCGAAAATGATGTGTACCAGACGTTAGTTAGACGATAGATAAAACATTAGATTAATATATTTCATGACGCCCCGTTTTTGAAAATACAAAATTATATCGCAAAAAAATGCGTTTTGATACATTTGGAATGAAACATTATTTACGGTTAATTCAGATCATATTTTACTCTTCATGACACCCGGTATCCGAAAATACAGTTGTATTGCGAAAAATGTGTTTTGTTACATTTAAAATAAAACATTTTTGCGATTAATTTAGATCATATTTTATTTTTCAGGACACCCGTTTTCGAAAATACAAGGTTATATCGCAAAATGTGTTTTGTTACATTTAAAATAAAACATTTTTGCGATTAATTTAGATCACGACAATCCGTTTCCGAAAATACAAAGTTTTATCACAAAAAAAATGCGTTTTGTTACATTTATTTTGCATTCCCAACAAAATACATATTTTCCCTAATTAAAGTCGTCGATGAATCTGTTCCTGTCGGTCAAGCTTGACACACGTTTGGACGAGTGTGGGGCGGTTTTTTGGTCGACGATAAATTAAAAAGTTGCCACACGTTATTAACTGAAAAAATTAGATTTTATAATAGAAGTGAATTTGTCTCAAGATGGTATTTTACGATTCTTGCCCACAGAAAATAAACACGCTGACAGGCTTGGTTATAATTGATATTCGTTAGTTTATTTTACACTATTAATAAACGCGCCACACCAAGTGCGGCCATATAAATTGCAGTCGCATCGGTATGGACTGTATGTTTTTGGCGCTCTCACATTAATTATAATTTTCAACAAAACAATACCCCGACGGTTCATTGAAGCTGAAATTCGTTACCGAGTAATTCACAATTTTATTTACGGAATTTGCAATTTCAAAATCTCACTCGACGATTTTGATGATGTCATGCCCTAATTATTACTGCTTAAATGCCTCAAAATACAACAAATGTAATCATTTTCGACGATAACAGACGCAACAAAACGAAATTCGCGATTGTTGCGACTCTCTCTTGTTTACAATTTTAACATCCCGCCGGCCATGTATGGTCGAATAAAATGTTCACATATTCTAAACATGACTTGGCCAAGGATGGAAGGGATCACTAAAGAGCTAATAGAAAGTACATACGCGAGGGTATGATATTAATATCGAGAATATTTGTGAGCATATCACAGGACGGAAATATTTTGCACCCGGCTGTTTGTTGGCAGAACAAACGCTAAAGTTAATTGCTCGATACAGGGAAGTATTTATTTATCATCTCACTTGCGAACATCGAGGTTTGGGCGGAATTGTACGATCATGTTGTCTTTCTTAAATAATAACTTTTCAAAAAATGTTCATTTTACTTTTGCGTCTTTATTATATGTCGGGTTTTCATTAATTTTAAATTCGAAATTGTCCGAAATACTCCAACAGGTGTATAAGTACAATAATAATAGTACTTACCAGGGAAGTTTAATACACACGATGTGTTAAGGGCGTCGTAACTCCTGTTTTTTAATTTGATTGGTTTACATTCTGCTTAAAAAACAACGTCGTTTTGCAGTCATCTAACGTAACTCTCGCGACCAAATCTTTTTTGTTTTGTATGGCATCGTCTTGGCGACGAATGTATTGCCGACTGAGTTTTAATTGTGTTTTAGGATAAGTTATTTTCTGTTTGTTGGTTTCTAAACTTTACAAACGTGGGTAGCACTTACTATTAATGTGAGATTTGTGCATATGAACGATTGAATATCGCGACTGGATGTCCGATATCTGAGAATGCGTATATCAGCGTTCATGTGGTCGAATAAAAATTATTTATCAAATGGATTGGTATTTCGAGACACTCTCAAAATTATTTGGGATCCACTATCATATCATTCGTTTATTTTTTATATTAATGTTTTTTTCAAGAATCACCCTCGTTATATTTCGTGTACTTTCGCAAAAGAAAACTCTTTGGTGTCATCGTTCCTATTAGTGTAATTGAAATATATGTAAGTGGCGTTGTGATGCGAATATTTGATACTAGGTCAGCAGCATTACAAAGAGTGCTATTTATGAATGCTGAAAGTACATGACATTACTAAACATTTTGCCAATATATGATGTTTTCTGCCTGATTTAAACTAACTCGCACGCAAACCAAGGCATGTCGACATTTAAAAATTACTTGTCTTTGGGTAAGCTCTGAAATAGTATAATATAAATGTAAATGAGAAATTAGGTAACGCTAGCTCACGAAAGGGGAGGATTTTCAAAGTGATCTTGTGTAATATTTCGGAGAAAAAAGTTTGAAAGGAAAGTAGGTCAACCTATCTCCTAAAACAGGGGAGTATCCTGTGTAATATTTCGGAGGGAACGTAGGTTAACCTATCTTTTAAAACAGCGGGTGGCGACTTTCAAAGTGGTTCAAAATCACAAATTAATAATTATCAGATTAGGTTTAGGGATAAATCGAAAAGTTGAATTTCCAGCGCACCTAACCCTAATTAGTTGATTGCTATTTATATTTTTTTTTGGGGGGGGGGGAATTATTTTGCACGGGATTTGTACAAATGATTCACCCTGTAACTCATATGGTTTCCAGCCTACGTGTATCAATCGTTGTCTCTTAGATGGAAGGAGTAACAAATGTGAAAGTCTTTGCTGTTCACGCGAGTAAGCAACTGACACCGTGATACATTGCATGAAAGTTTTGTTCGCGCAAGTTTTAGCAGATGTTTTTTCCTTGCCGATGAATTCGCTTTTAATTAAACATGAATTCGCCCAAAGGGAACTCGGTTAACGGAAAGGCTTCTCTTTAATTCATAATATTAACCGGAGGAGCGCTTTTTCGAGTATCTATGCCGTGTTAAATGGGTTATATGAAAGGCTAGAGCACCTAACTTGTTAAAATCGGCAAAAGCACTTTCGCACTTTTTTTTTCGATTGCGAAGCACTTTCGCACTCATAATTCGCTTAGAGTTAACACTGCCTAACCCTAACCCTATAACCCAAGCTGGACAACTACTAATTGTTAGTTTAAAGCAGGCGGGGTTGTTTTCCGAAATCTCTCATTTTTTCGAAGAAACATTCTCAACTGTGGTAATATACTTAAATAATCAATATATTGCACTATAAGTTTTTTCAAAATATCGAATTATTTCGAACTTTTCCGACCTAGCGGGGAAAAATTTGAATATTCCATTTAATCGAGGACTAATATAAAAAACTTAAATCAACAAAAAGTTGTGGTGGCGCAATGTGGTATTCGAAGATGGCAAATTTTACAAAAATTGATTAATTTTTCGAACTATGTCACTATGTGAACTATGTCAAGTTTTGGGTTCATGAAAGACAGAAAATGTAATCTGATAAATTAGATATGAATTAGATATATATTTCAACAAATCTATTCGTACCTGTCTGCTCTAGCGAAATGACAACATCAAATAAAATAATACTACGTTGATTTTTCAAATTCTAGTTAACCTTAACCATTCCGAGCCTGTCGAACCCCTTGTTATCCTGAAAGCTGCCGCCAAATCCCATTGTACCGAACGGTTGAAATTAGAAGCCCGATCTCAACTTTATAAAGGGGAAGAATAATTTCGTGCAAGGTGATAGAAAATGAAAAGATTCAGGTTGAAAATCCTTGGTTTGCCAAACCAACCCAAGATGTTTCAAAGTCATAGGCAGAAAGCATCTAAGGGCACTATCATAAGCACAAACACCAAAGCGCGCGACATCCGTGGAGATGACGTGTTCACTAAAACTTACAACGCTACACAAACAGCAACGCTAATTTATTGGTTGTTGAACGTGTAAGTTCGAATATCATCGAACCCGTTACCCCAACAAAAACCAAAAATTCGATTGAACCCTGGTTAGAAACTACTGTTCTAGACTATTAAAAACGAACAAAACGCTATGACAACGAAACAAACCCATAATATACGAATACAATAAATACTATAGAATGCGGCCCGACCAATTGTATTAATGGAGCCGCAATTGCCCCATTACAGTATCATAACCCCATTGCTGGCGGCCTGGGGCATACTTCAAACGATGGTAGAACGCCCAAAAGAAACATAACCCGCGTCTTTTCGAGAATTATGTATACGAAATTAACAAAGCAGCAACATTTATTGCATGCCAGATAAAAACTGCACACCTGTCCGTGGACTAGCGGTGGAAACCATTGCATTACATGACTTTACGAAATTATACAAATAAAGTTGGGCGAAATAATATGGACATCTTGTGAGAATAATTCAATATTTGCAGCTCTTCTTGACTAGCGGGATTTAACATGATATATCGGTTTATACCTGACAAATATGAATTAAAAGATTTATAAGATTACATACTTGCTCTTCACTCTTTACATTATATAGGCTTCCATCTCACTCCGTGATGCACCAGACTATTAACAATGTTCATTCCGTTTGATGCAATGACGCTTTCAAGCAGTGTTTTAGGAAACTGAAAATCGATATAAAGTTCATTATCAAGTTTTGGATTTATAAATCACAAAAATGCTGTTTGACAGAGGTTAAAGCAAAGGTAAGCTTGTATTAAAAAAAACATAAAAAAAATTCAACTTAATGTCATGAATATGTGTATACGAGTCTATCTAACTCTAGGGGAACTAAATTTCGTTGACCTAAGACATTTAATTAATTCACAAAATATGCTATTTGACAAAAATATAGAGAAGAGATATAAGTTGTTCGAACTATGTCATTATCAATCTCTCTGTGTTTGTAATTAACTGGGACACAGGAAGCTGAGCTTATACTAGAAGTATAAAACAAATAAAAATATTATTTTTTCGTTCATTCTAAAATTATTTGCTGATTCTCACGAAAATTACAATTTTGACTTAATTTGAATTATCTGTCAGTACATTATATTGTAACTCATCATATAAATATTGTCTAGTCAATTGACGCCAAGACTAGACGTGAAGCTGATTGATGAAACTTAAAAAAAAGCATAAAATCTTGATCGCCTTATTTTCTCAAGTTATTTCGTTATTTACCTACGTTCCATCCACGTATTTGCAACGTGCTTCTTGACTAAACTTCCGCCCTAACTGTCTGTGTTTTGCACATTGTTAACTGGTTATTTGGAGGTGGAGCGCGAGACTTGGAGAAATTCCAAACTTGGGGCCTTAAAGTGCTTGTGTACCACAGGCATTGTGCGTTATATTTGCCTTAGTTTCGAGGTCCTCCTGTATATTATAGGAACTTCAATTTTAGGACATTAAACCAGCACGGTGTGAGATTTTTGGGTTATATTAAAAATACACTACTATGTTATCGTATTTGAAATATAATTCAACTTCCAACGCTCAACTGAATATCGATAAGGGTATCAGTCTCTTACATAGTATGGTACTTCGCGTGATCTACCATTTGTGGTGAAAACGGGTGTCAAGATAATAAAAAAAAATGGTATATGGTATGCAGAATGATACGAACTATGCTTCTAAACGAAGTTAGACATGGTTAGCTTGGGTACCCCATGATAAACGATTTTAGAGTCGTAATATTCGCATTATTACAGCGTCATAACATAGATACATACCCGCATGGAATAACATATGAATACTCGCACTTAATAACAGCACGTTAGAAATATTGTCAGCTTCGGACACTTATCAATATGAAACGTATGGTTACTTGGACTACTGAGAATTGCCAGATTTGAATACCTTATCAAATATGAATCGTATGGTTACCTTGACTACCAAGGATTGCCAGATTTGAACACTTATCAATATGAATCGCATGGTTACTTGAACTACTGAGGATTGCCGGCTTTCGACACTCATCAATATGAATCGTATGGTTACTTTGACTACCAAGGATTGCCAGCTTCGAACACTTATCAATATGAATCGTATGGTTACTTGGACTACTGGAGAATTGCCAGATTTGAATACTTATCAATATGAATCGTATGGTTACTTAGACTACCAAGGGTTTGCCAGATTTGAACACTTATCAATATGAATCCGCATGGCTACTTGAACTACTGAGGAATTGCCGGCTTCGAACACTCATCAACATGAAATCGTATGGTTACTTGGTACCAAAGAATTGCCAGCCTCCTAACATTTATCAACATGAATTGTATGGTTACTGGGACTACCAAGGGGGGGGGGGGGGGGGGGTATAAGTCGGGTGTAGGGGATTTACGGCTACATTGGTGCATTGGCCTGGTCTCATTATATGAAATTTCAGTTTGGGAGACGAATTACATGGTTAACCAGTACCGAAAGTAAGTAAGATTCACGGTTATATTATGTACTTAATTAAACTCAATCCATATTACCAAGTATTTGAAATTTATTGAGATTCTGGAAAGGAACATGAATGGCATAGTTATTAACTGTTTCCAACCAGCAGGTGGTATAATGGGCGATATCGTCTAACGAGCCTACGATCTAATATAATTAGAAAAATGGGAACACGCAAAAAGTTGGTGCTGAGTCGGTGTTAGGGGATTTACGGCTACATTGGTGCAATTGGCCTGGTATCATTATATGAAAATTTCAGTTGGGAGACGAATTACATGGTTAACCCAGTACCGAAAGTAGTAAGATTCACGGTTATATTAATGTTCCTGATTAAACCTCAATCCAATATTACCAGTATTGAAATTTTATTGAGATTCTAGAAGGAACATGAATGGCATATGTATTAACTGTTTCCAACCAGCAGGTGGTTATAATGGGCGATATCGGTCTACGAGCCTACGATCTAATATAATTAGAAAATGGAAACACGCAAAAAGTTGGTGCTGAGTGCACCTGTGCAGGGGGTTTCAATAGCGCAGAAATATTCAAACAGAGCTCCTTGAAATGCAAATGAAATGAGGAAATAAAATTCATGTTAATATTCGAGAGATGCATCACTGCTTGATTTATATAATATGTAAGATGTATCTTTTTAATGAAAATCTCTTATAATTTTGACAAACCATGCTATTTTGTGAAGGCAGAACACCGGATTCTTTTCATTTACGACCTCTTCTATATGTGGAAGGGGTTTGTAACAATGAAACAAGTGCTATCAAAACATCGAAATTGCCATTCAATTAGTAAACGGAGTGATTTGAGATTGTGGCTGACGAAAATGTCACCGAAAATTAAAAAAAACAACTATCTGGAAGACCACTGAGCTAATTTATCTCATTAAAAACACTATAAACTATGATTGATCTTTGTTTATTTGTTTCTGTCATATAATCATTTGCTGTAGGAGGGCGACTAAAATGTTTGAGAAACCATTGGTATAGACCAGGGGTTCTCAAACTTTTGGCGTTGCGGAGCCCTTGAAAAGGTTGACTATTATTCACGGAGCCCCAAAATAAATGTTAAATTGTTACTTTCCGATTAATATTCCCGAGTAAGTTAAACGTACTTTACTCAATTTAAATACTAAACCCTTTTAATAGGATTAATACAAGTCATAAATAAATCTAAATTTCAAAAAATAATTTGTATATACTAAAGCTGTAATTTGACACATGACAAACATATTAATAAATTGGGCCGTCGAATCTTTTTCCCCTCTTGACATTTTAGAAGACTTAAAAGGCCGCTAATAACGTGCGCGATTGCATTTTGTTACAATCGCCGATTGTTTTCGTCCAGCATTGCGTGTTTTTAAACCTCAACATCTTTACGCCGGTGTTTATTCTCCCTAAATCAAAAATTCTTTCGGCATATACATGTATTGTTCCACAATGACGACGATAATTGCTTTTTTCGTTCTCGTGGGGAATTATGAGTTCAATGTGAAAAACATGTTACCATATTATAATCATCGGCGACCTAAATGCTGAAAATAATAGTTTAATAAAGAGGTAAATCCGCATTCAAATTTCTTGATTAAAAAGCGGCATTCCAAAATATTAGAACTAAAACTTAAAAATGGAGAAACACTATAAGTTTGTTTCAGCAGACTCACGTCAGAATAAAACGCTTTTATAGACATTGGTAAATCACAAAATTTGGTGTTATGTTAGGTTTTCTTCGGTTATTCATCGTGGTAACTGCGAAATTGAAACACAGGCAATTAATTATGCGCGCGATGTACCATTTCCACTCTGAAACTACCGACGGAGCCGCATGCACTAGATAAAATTTCAATCGTTCGTATTTTCGACAAGACCTTGTGATTTTTCAAACGGCGATACTTGCTTAAAAATAATCTCGAGTGCGAAAGAAACAAATAAAGTTTAACAAATCCCAAGATCGCAAAAATACGACTCCAATTCATTTATAGTTTGGCAGTTTATCACGCAGTTTATGTTATTTTAGAATAGTATTCTTTCATTTTAGTAATTCTAATAGTAATCTCGAATCGAAGTGAGTAACGATGAGCACAATTAAATTATTACGATAAGACACTTTAAATGCTCGCATCGGTCATGAATTGAATATTTTACGCAACAGAAATCTCGTTATCCGTTTTTTTGAATCGCCAAGAATGTTGCGCGTAAATTTCCGATTCCCGATTCCAAATTTGAACCTCCTTCCCTCCTAAGAATCCTGGCTGCGCTTCCTGCTTATAAATAATGTCATTTATTAAGTCGCCACTTTGCCATATTTTGAAGGTATATTGTTGTCAAATTTTATCAAAGCTGTTATTGCTTCTATGGATAGTTTTAATTAGCCAAGCAGTATTTGAAAAGTAATCGAATATCTCGCGGAGCCCCTTTGGTTTCTCTCGCGGAGCCCTGGGGCTTCGTACGGAGCACTTTGAGAACCTGTGGTATAGACGACGATAATTTACATTTATGAGCTTAGTCGAATTCTTTTTATAGATGATACTACTTTGTGGCAAAAACAGGTTTTGCTCATAAGATTAAACAAGTGAATTCTACACAGAATAATAAGGACCATGTTATCAATAACGTAATACCCGTATAAATAAAACATAAGAAATATAGGCAAACCCGTGTATTTATTCTATTTCATCATTTATATAGATGTATACACGTAATAACCTAACATATTAATACCTGCAATCGACGATATGGCAATAAGAAATATATTGAACACTCATGAACATGAACGGCATGGTTACTAGGACTATTACCATGCAACAGTCTGAATAGAGAAGATTTACAGCTATATTGATACGTTACAGTATCGCCACTGGACACGATATTTTAGTTTGGGGTTTGCATAACGTGGTTAACCAGTGCCAAATGATATAGAATTCACATGATACACTCGTTTGGACGTACTTATATAACATCGTTATTGGAAAGCTAATGTGATTCTATCTTGGAACACAAATGACACGGTTAACTGGTTACTACCATGGGCATAGACCATGATAATTTCAAGTTACATATATGAGATTAGCCAGATTGGCTCATAAAATTAAATCAATAAATTCTATGAAGGATAATAATTACTATGCTATCAATGAAGAAGGCAATATACGTATAGATCCTTGTAT